CACAGGATTTCTAGTTTGCAAAAAGCTCCTTTAAAAAAAACAAACATAAACTTTACACCATAAATATGAGTCAAACAGAAACAAAAGTTTTGAAGTTGTGAACCAATTGAAAAAAATGGTTGTAGAATGATTCAAATAGGGTACTAGCAAACCTGGACTTGCACCTCATGATCCTTGCTGCTGAAGAACAGGTCTGTTTCTGTGGCTGGTGGTTGTGCTTCCAGTCCCGTCCTTCCCTGACAGTACACTTCTGCAGACTACTTCATGGTGGGACTGAGAGTGTGCTGAGCCTCAGACCAGGCAGCTCAGCCAACACGTCCACTGCTCTGAAGAGGACTTCCAGAGTCTAGCCCTGCTCCCATAGGAAAGCACATGGCCAGCCAAGGAGAACCCATTAAAATAAAAGTTTCAGAAATTTCTAAGCTCTCTGCTGCAGAGCTTGAGCTCAGTTAGATTAAGAACTCCAGGTCCTTCAGTTTGGCTCCATGGATGACTATCTCCAAGCAGCACATCTTGAAAGCACTAGAAACATACCTTGGATCCTGTGAGCACAGGAGTCCCTGGAGATGTGCCAAAGATCCAGGCAGAGTCCATGTGAACCGTGTCTTCAGCCTCCCAAAGTTCACTGAGTGTACACTATCTGGGGGTTCGGTTCATCTCTCGCTGTTGATGAAGTTTCCTCTAGGAAAACTCTGATGATCTCTAACCATAACATGTAAGTGTCTAACCCCTGCCAGGTGTCTGATAGACCTTGTGGCTGCAAAATGCATTTGATTTTTGGGAAGCTTTGAAAGGGCAGCAGTGATCCTGCTTTGTATATCTTCATGAGAGCTTCACTAAGACTTACAGGCCATCTTTGATGAGAAAGGCATAATGGCTGAGGTAAAATGACGGTGATGGGTAGAGAAGATGGGTTGATGCTCACAGAGCATCAGCAGCTGAGTGCCACAGAGATCATAAGAACCCTTTTCAAGACCCTGCCATTCACCTAACGATCTATGACCTGTTATATAGATTGTGGAATTTGTTCTTTTTGTCTTAGCTTGGAAGGAAATAATTAAGGGTCTGAGTATTAATGTCAGCTGATAGGTTCCCATTAACTACCATTGTCTTTGAGTCCACTCATATTTGAAATGTTTGGTTATCTCTCTGCAAGAAGGTGGTAGGTGTCCAGAATTGATTGTATTGTCCCTCTTGTCACTGGTTTCCTTTGCCAAACTCCAGCAAAGTAAAAGGTTTTAATGCCCAAGTCAGCACTGAGGGGAAAAAAAAAAAATCATTTAAAAAATATCCATTTCTGTCCTGCTGCAGAAAGCTATAGCTGATGTAAGGGTACTGACTTTCTCTAATTTTATTTTTTGCAGCTATTAGTATTTACATTGTGAGATCACTGGAAATTGAGGAGATGTAGGATTTGGAAAGCAAAGCATAATGATTTTTGAATCTTCAGATTGAGATATATAGGAAACATACTTTGCAAATAAATATCACATAGTTCAGAAAATATATTGGTAGAAGATGATATTTCACTGGGACTGAGAAATTTTGTACCCTTTCTTAGAGCCAAGGAAAAGAAAAAGAATGGAGATAGTGGAAAAAGCAAAGTAAAACGGCAACTCCCCTCCTCTCCTGAATCTTCCCTCTCCCCAAATCCTTGTTGAAAAGGTTGGGTGTGAATAGGAAATAGTGATTAGGCAAAGTAGGCATTGAAGTGGCATTTAGATAAAACAGTTCACAATAAGAAGGTAACAAATGAAGGTAGAATTAACAAATAAAAGGTGGTCTAAAAACCCACAGGGAATGGCAAGGCCGCTGCAGAAATCTACATATGGAAAACCTCTGAGCGAAAGGGGTTGCTCACAGCAGGTGGAGTTGAGCCATGGGGAGGAGCATAGCAGGGTCCGTGAGGAGGCATGAAACCCTAAATCAACTCTCTTTACTTCACCTTTTCCAGTTTAAGTTAGTCTTGTGGGGGATAGGCAAGGGGGGGGGGGTTGCAACTCGGGGGCAGCCCACAGCCACCCCAGGCACCTGCGTCCCTCTCCGTGCACCAGCAGCCACCATGACCAGCAGCCTCTTCTCCACCTGCTTGCTTCTACTGGTTCCCGTTACTGACAGGTCGCTGAGCTGAGCTACCTTTCTCAGGGGCCACACAAGGCTCAAGAGCCAACGCAAGAAAAGCTGCAGCTATCACAGTTAGGAGGGTGAAGTGGGAGTGCCTTTTTCAAGCTGTAAGACTAATTTTATCATTAAATGGCTGCTGGGCAACAGCTAGGACTTTTAATGCATTTAATCCAAACCATACAATCTGAGTAGAGCTCAGAAAGAGAAGGGGACATGAAATGGACATTACAAAAATAACTGGGGTGGAGGGAATAGAAGAAACAAAAGAACACAAAAGAATGGCCTGATTGGTTGCACGATGTGTTTTGAACACCTAAGAACACCCGTGAGCTCATGAAAACCTCCTAACAAAGTCTGCTTTCTGTAGAAGTGAATTGGGCACGTTTCTTACTGGTAATATCTGGGTTGGGGGTTCTGTGTGAGAGACAGTTGTAGGAGCTGCTAATGTCAGTTGCGCCTGAAACTGGGTTAAGTGTGGCATACCGCCATCAGCCATGCATGAGAAACAGAAATAATGTATTAATAGGCAAAAGGAGGTGCTTGAGTACGTAATTTTTACGTCTCTGTATGGTATACCACCCTTTCACATTGATCTGAGAATACATAGAGCTTCCCAGTAAACAATTTTTTCCCTGTGATTATGGCTTTCTCCTTTACAGTCCTCCTCCCGCCTCCCTTCAGATGTTCAAGGGACCAGACCCTGCTGCTGCTGCATAAAGCTGTTCAGCTGAAGTCTGTGAGGCCATGCCAAGTGACTACAACCTAGTATCTGTCCCACAGATTGCTTTTTCTCTGATTAACAACCTGGCCAAATTCTTCTCCCCATAGTCCCATACGCAGTTCCTGGGAAGCTAAGAGACCTGCCTCTGTGTGCAAGCCAGGCAAGCAGAAACTTGGCCAGGACTGCCCTACTCCAGTGTCTGGTAGATAGGTACCACAGTGGTGGACTCCACTGGAAACAAATCGTGCTGCTTTGTAATAATAATGCTTTTAAACAGAGCATTAGAAGGCAACAAACCACCTTGCAAGTCCTTTAGAAAGGAGCTCTTCTTTGCATCTTCCCTACTCCCATATAAAATGCCAAACACATTTCTTGCTCCTCTAGCGTTGGGATCTGCACAGCCTGGAAGCAAGGCTAGATGCGGATGGGGAAGCTTTGCTGCCACGTGCCTGCAGCCCTGCGGCTCAGTCGGGGGCACACACAGCTGCTCAGGGACATCTGGCCCCATTGCCCTGTGGTCCCCCACCCCACTTCTACCCCCCACATTGGTTTGTGCCACTTCTGTTACTCCTCTTTTGCTATTTATGGCACGACCTAATGACGGAAGCCTGATTAGCCAAGGCTTCACACCTTTCCCAATCTTGACTATGCTTCAGAAGACTGAGTTCAACCTGGTGCTCACAAGCACACATATTGTCTGCGTATTTTCTGGAGCTACATTTTGGTTTGTTCCCTTTGTGTTCCAGCTCAAAAGCTGTAGAAACAGAATATTGCTCCTCATCAGGATGAGTTCACATGTTTGTTTGGGAACTGATTCAGTGATATGTAGGAGTTAATCCCCCGAAGTCCCATGTCAGGTCTATGTACCAGCACACCAGTTCCTCATGAGCAATTTGAAGTGACACAGAACCTCTCTATGGTATGTTCAGCTGGGGATATTGCAAAATGGCAATGTAATTTAGCAGCTCTTCCTGAAGTGACACAGTTCTTTTTTGAAAATAAAAATAAAAATTTTGCTATCACTTAACAAAGTATGAGCTGGTGCCTGCCCTGCTGAGTATAGCTTCTGAGCCACAGCAGGTTGGTGGTTTCCAGGCCAAGTGAAGGTTGTGGCAGAAACGCAGCCCCCACTGGTCCATGTAGGAGCTCCAAGCAGAACATTACTTCTTATTTTCCAAGTAGTGAGCTGAACCAGGCATGCAACAAATTTTGTATGGTCAGCTGTGCAGCTTCAGAGTGAGTATTTAACCTCAGGAAAAAAGCACTTAAGAAGATAATGTGTGTGTGTTGGGAGGGGAGGTAATTATTTTTATGCCAGGAAACACAGTGTTTGGAAATAACTGTTTGATTCACATGGTTTTCTAGAGTTAGAGGAAGAATGTTCATTGTCTGGGTCAAGGAAAGTCTGTAATTTTGGGGTGCTATCTTGAAAATAAAAAATTACTTGATTAGTACAGGGATTCTCTAACTGCCTACCCGTGAGACTTAAGCATACTTTTTTCCCTACTTAACCATGCATAGATTTTCATGCTGAATGGCTGCTTTCGGGAGCCTGATGATGCCAAGGGTCTAGGCTGGCTATCCTTTTCTCTCCAGTTCATACATCTGGAGAAGTTCAGTCCAAGACTATACAGGGAAAACAATAACATTTTAAAACTAGGCTCATCACTAAGCGCATGTAATTCATGTTATGACAAAAAATGGTTTCAGATAATTTAACAAGTGGCATTTGTGTTGTTGCCAGCTGCAACTGGATCTTGTCTGTCTCCCAGTTGGTGACTTTCCTTTCAATTGATACTGTCATTGAAATATCTGAGACTCAACTCCAGATATCTTAACTTTCTGTTTTCTGCTTATTTTAAAGCTGGCTGATTCTCCTGGATTCCCTACTCTCCTTATTAATTATACATTGAAAAGATAACAAAATATTACGAAGCACTGCCATGTCTGTGGAATCCAGCATATTGGATTTTTTGCCTAGAGTGTCAAACAAGATAAATTATTCTGCTAATAACAGGATTAATCCATTCATCACATACAGTAAAAAGACACTGTTAGCATTCGGACTGAGTTATTCTTGGTCTTGAGAGGTGAAATGGCAGACCTGGCATTTAGAGGGCATTTGTGCCTTTAAAAAACCCTGTTCCCCTCTTACCTTCTCCCGCTCCTTGGGCCAAATTCTTGCTGCAGGGCTGGCTGTTACCATGGGGGCAGGAAGACAGCCCTGCGGAGGGTTGTGTAGGTATGAATGTTTGGCAGAGCCCTCGACTTTTAGGTAGACGGTATAATTACTCCATCATTCAACACAAAAAAAAAAAAAAGAAAAAACAGAAGTGATTTTGTTTTTCTCCAATTGCCTTAGTTCCTGCTTTCCTAGGGTGAGATTGTCAAGATCTGTTGCACAGCTTTTGAAAGCTAATTTGAGGTCAGACAGTGAGTCAAAATAGATTCTTGATTTTTGTCAACTGTGAGCTGCAGCCGAAGGGTCTGATTTGGGAAGAGGGTGAGCAGCCATGCTGGCATGCTACCCTCGCTGGCGGTTCCAGCTGTCAGCATCTTCTGGACTGGCCTCCAAGTTCCTGCGCTTCCTCTGAACTGATAAAACTCAGGGGCAGGGTCCTTTCAGCTTAAACCCCTTGTGTTCCAAAAATTTCTTCTATTTTTGTTTTACTACAAAGGAAAAGAAAGTTAGGTCTCTGGAATGCGCCCTCGTTAAAAGGAGGCTGGTAACCGGCCGGCTGCGCAGCCGGGGCCCATCTCAGCTCATGCATTTGTAACCGAAACACCTCAACTTTCCGGAAGTCTCTAAATGGATTGCTTTCAGTCGGAGCAGTACACAGACATTATAAAACCTGCAATTACTTTTCCTGTAGGGCCATAAAATATAGATCTGTTAAAGTCTGGGTGCAGAAGACACGGGCGTCCTACAGTTCCGACCAGCACAGATGAGAGTCTATTACGGATGATGAAAACAAGGTACTAGAAAATCCATTAGAGCTATTTGTTGCCACTTGCAATGATAGTCCCTGTAACCACATTAAATCAAAGCATCTCTGGGACTTCATTACAAATTTCTTATATCAATACCGTATGCTGATATAAATAATAGCGTAACAAAATCAGGGAGAAGAAATTACATTGCATTGTATGATTTAGGGATTTGTGATCAATTATTTAGCATTTATATCAGAGAAGCACTTAATGTTTTCCATTGGGGTGGGATGCTGCAGTGCTAGGGACTGTGTACATATTGAGTGAACAAAAATCGCTGTCCCAGAGTGCTTTGACCATCTAAATTGGGTTAAGGACATATGAGTGTAAAATGAGAGAGTAAAAATTATTAAACTCCTCTCTAGATACCGCCGCTCTGGGACTGAAACTATACTCATATCCAGTAAGAGAATGCAAAGAAGCGTCTGCTTTTGAACTCTAGGAAACAGCAAAAAAGAGACCGATAGAAACCTGCGGTCGGTGTGCGTAACACAGCTCTTTCCCCGTGCTCTTCAAAGCCCCCTCCTTTTCTCATATGCCATCTACAAACAGAAACAAGACTGGCTGGTGTCTCTTCTGGAAATAACAAAGCTGGCCAAGAGTGGTTCGCGAAGAGAAGCAAGAGCAGCATGTTTTCGTGGTAATAAATGGAACAAGATTGTCATTGTGCTTTAGACGAGAGTCTGGAGGGAAAACCAGCCTTGTTCTTCCTGATCCATCAGAAGCTTTGTATTTGAGTTTGCAGGCTCTATGAGCTCAAAACATAAAAAGGAGATATGAATCAAACATGCCAGTAAAGTTCAGTGAAAGTAATATGAACCCAAAACAATGATTCCCCCCCCCCCAGCTCTGTTTGCAGTATGTAATTACCATGAGCTGGTTGGCAGTCCTGCAATAATTAGGCACAACAGCATGAGTTAGGAATGTATCATCAATCTTAGCTTACAATTTCTTTGCTTTTGCTGGTTTATGCTAACCTCATCATACTTAAATAGTGGTATGCATCTTTGTGAAAAATGTTCAAAATGAAAAAGCCCACCTCAAAATAAACTATAGTGGATCCCTCAATTTCTAGCATAAATAGCTAATTTGCATTTTAGAAATCTAAGATTCATACAACCCTTGTTGACGTAGATGAGCAGATATATCTCTGTTATAAGTCATTGGCTTGAAAATAATTTTAAACAATAAATCTGATACCCAAACTTGTAAAATGCTACATTTGCAGGGACTGTCTGTGTGGGTGCAGTTCAGATAATGAGGGCAGAGACTCTAAGTACCTAAAGGATGTGAAAATCCAGTTTTTACTCAAGGTGGCTTTGCAGACCTCAGCTTGTTTATTCAACATATTCACCTCCATGCATTTGTCCCTGTGAAACAGATGTGTCAGTGAAACATGTTCCTGTCCTGAAGGGTGATACCGCTGTAATGAAGACAGATTTTCAGGAGTTTTCGTTTGGGAGGCATGTGGGGGAGAACGGAGTAATGCTCTGGTCTTCTGTGGACCTTTAATGGCAGAGCACTGTTTGTCTCTCTTTCCTCCCCAGGGCAAAAGCCTTGGAGCCCTTCCCCGAGCTCT